AAATGTATATCGTTTAAAAGTACACTGAACGACCAGTGTTATTACGGCTCAGGGGTATGACTTCCTCTCACATTTTGTCATTTGGTGGTGCACTTTCGGCGAGAGTTGGAAATCCGGAAACAGTCGACCGTTTCACGATAGGTGGGCGTGGCTACAACACGAGAAATATCCCAAATTTACTTGGATACGAGTAATCATTTTCAGCAAAAAAATCAATAACTACCTTTTTCAGTGGGACACAGATCTAAAATGGGAAACGTGAGGGTGGGTATTGCACAGGCACTTTAACATACTGATTAACTGATAAAAGAATTGAAATAACATTCATGATCTCCAAACAACATTCAATGTTACCAGTATTTGTAATGTTATTTGTACATGTATGGTATGGTTTAGTGTACAGTAATGTACAACTTTGTAGAGGGGGTACAATTAAACACATTGGAGGTCATGACATTTTTACAGCTTGTCGCTTTGGGTTGTTATTGTATTTAATTCCCTGTAACTTTATTTATATGCATAAGATATGTGTTTATAAATATGTATGACTTATTGCATTGAATTTTATGAAGGCATAATTGCTTTTTCATAGACCTATAGTCTATTGTTTTTTATATAAAATATTTCTAAATGTTTTATAAATTTCAAATTAAATGAGAGTTATCAATAGCCAATGAAAATATGTTTTTTGATTCAAATAAAGATATTTTTATAAATATTTTATTTCTAGGTAAACAGTCGTGCCTTCATGAAATTAACATTATATAAACTGTACTAGGTGGATAAAGTTATTGTAAAAACCGTAGTGTACTTATTGGTTGAACTGAAATTTATTTTCACTGAACATTTTGTGTTGTGTAAAGCCAAGAAAAAAAAGAGAGACAATGTTTCTGGTAACATTGCCTGCCCAAATTTAGGCTAATTAAATTGTTCTACTTATATTATTTCTTTTCTTGCAAATTAACCATGCTAATCCACCCATATAAAAAAACAGGATTTTGCCCATTTGCACTTCCTTTAATATAGTGGATTCTTTTTTTCTGTGTTTGCTTAGAAATTGCAATTGGGGAAAAAATAAATGATGTGCAGTTGGTCCTCAAAATAGGAAATCCTGCTAAATTTTGCCCAACCTGGAACATTCAATAGCTTCTATGTTATTTCAAGATTACATTGAATATACATTTTTTGTTATTTTATGTTTACTGAAAAAACTTTTTAAACAAATTCTGAAAATAATATAACCTCTAAATCTGATTAAGGATTATAACAATTTGGTAGAAAACTGGTCACTCAGAATTACTCCAGCCATTTATTTTGAAAGACAAAGATAATGGTAAAAATCATAAATATTTCTTCTGAGAACATATACTATATATGCATTCCAAAAATCAGTGATATCTGTGCTGTTGTCTTAACTTAATTCTGTTAAAATTCTTCTAACATTTTAACTACTTTTACAATGTATCCTCACTGCTGTAATTACCATACTTCTGGTAGCTCACACTCGTCAACTACATGCTGTATATCTGAATGGATATCTGTATACATGCAAGAAAGTGGCAAATCTATGGAAAATGTGAGATTGCATACCACCTACTTGTATACTTACCACCTTGTATAAAAATTCTTGTATATTTTTGCATTTGGCTCTGTGAATGTTTAACAAACGTACAAAGAATAAAACTATTGGTCTTGTTTCTGGTAATCTTTTGACTCGTACCTTCAGTACTAACCACTGTTTTTCCATCTGCTTCCCCTAATTTCTTTCAGAACTTCAGAGCTTGCTGGGTATGTGCAATTTTAATATCACAATTATTTAAATTTAATCAATTATTTTTTCTAAGATTTTTTTTTATTCTTACAATAAGAGAATCAATATATTTGTCTGTGGCATATTATTGTTTATACAATATAGTATCATACATATATCTGCTTGCCAGCCAGTATAACATGGAAATGATTCATGGATGTGATAATGATATGAGTGCATGGCTGCCAATGCAGGCTGAATAGTGTAGCTCTAGCTTATACCTACCGATGTCAGGCTTGCCTCCACATTTAATTAAAAATTCAGTTTGAATTTTTCAAAGTTTGTAGGTTTTGTAATAATGTAAAAATCATAATCCTACAATTTCATATTGATTTCCTCTTAAGAATTAGGTAAACTATCGGTAGTTTCTATTTAAATTTTAAATCTGTATTGTCTCATATATTTAATTTAAGTCTTTGACATGCATGTATGAAGTAGTCACTATTGTATTACAAATGCCTCTGTTATGGTATTCACAAGATAATATCTAGGTCAAAAGCTTCATGCCTCTGGCCAAAATTACTAAGCATATTTTCTGAAGATTCTTATATGAATTTTCAGTATTTCGTGGGTGTCGTTATGTCTCGAAATCTGAAGATGGCCTTATCACCAAATAAAAAATTCTGTGTGAAGTATTTTCTGTTAAGATGATGCACAATCAACGATCAACGGTTTTCTGTACAAATAATAGTATTAATCTTCCTTGCTTTTCAATGTTGCCACTATGTCAAAACTAATCAAACACCCACACACACACAGAAGCTTTCTGAGTTGGTAGACTCATTGAGTGAGCACCAAACGCAGAATTTTAAACAGCAATGCATGCTGGGATTTTACATGAATAGGTAGTACTTTAAATCTTACTGGGGGTAATGGCAAAATCAATCATTCGATGTTGCATATACAATCTATCTTGTGAACACCATAACCTTTGATTTGGGTTTATGACCAAAGTTTCTTAGTACCTGTATGTCAAAAACTCGTATACATGTGGGAGAGAATACATTTTTAACAAGATTGATTTTGAAAAATTAACTGAAACTGGCTGGTTGTTG